AGCAAACGGCTATCGCCTGTCTCTTCTCTAGGGCCTTGCTGTTACTCTCCGAGTTCACGGACAAGTTGCTGTTCTGAAATCTGCGATCTGAGTATTTGATACGTTTGAAATTGTATCCAAGTCTGGAAGCCTGCGTCTAGGCCCCGGGACTCGCTGATACCTAGTTTGTGTTTTGCATAGTTTACTCAGCTGACCATGCTCAGCTTCGAGCCTCTGCAGAGAGTACAGACTTTGCAGAGTCCATGACTTAATTGAGCCCTTTGTCTCTTCCTCATTGGGACTCAGTTTCGAGTCTCTGTAGGGAGAACAGAGCCTGCCCAGTTTACTTAGTTGAACCCGCTGCTCAGTGTGCTGATTCTGAGACTCTATGTCGTTAACCCTTGAGTTTGCGAACATTCGCTGAATCTGTGCACTCGCTGAGTCTACGGATATTGTTAAGCCTATGCCTTCAGAGGAGCTCACAGGCTGGGGGAGTCCGAGCTTTCACGTCGTTGATTTTCGTTGCTCCTATGTCCGTCACTGAGTGGTTGAAACCATGATCCAACTAAGGACCACTGATTTCAGAAACTAGTTCGGAGTTTATAATATTACTGTGTTTCCTTCCTTTATGTTGCTGTAAATTTTGCTGACCCCCGTGTAACTGTCATTCTGCCAAGTCTTCCATCCTTAGCTTGGAGCAACAGAGACCGAGCTTTAAGACTACAAAAATCACCAAATGCTGAGAACTACTTGAATGCATTTGGTTGCCTGCTGAACCGCCCGGATTTTCGCAGAGACCCCCTTGAGTTCCTGCTGGCTCATCTGGTCTGAGTTCTAAGTCCCAGCATTGAGGACCTGCAGGACCACTCAGGGCTGATGAGGAGACTTTTGTGAAGCTTACTCGATCTCATCAACTGAAGTTTGCAATTTCACTCCTCCCAATTTTATTATTATTATTATTTTCGCTCTTTCTCTGATCCTCACTTTCCCCACGAAGATCTCCCACAGTTGGCTGGCTCAGTTCCGCTGTTCCAAATGTATCTGGTCTCGACTCGAATGGAAAATAAATAAATAAATAAATAGTAAATGGTATTCCCTCCGCCAGCGAGCATTTAAAATGAGAATGAGCTTCCTGCTAGGACGCGGCCGGATACATCATTCAGTTTATGTTTAAACGAAGGATGAACTCCTCGCTTGAACAGGGCCAGATACAGCCCTCAGTTTATGTTTTCAGGAAGGACAAACTTCTCACCTGAACATGGCCAGATGCGCCCGCTTGCAGTGCGTCTAACGGGAATGAACTTCCCGCTAGGAAATGGCCCGATCCGCCAGCTTTGCCATGCGCAGCGCTGCGCCGTGCTTCCGCGCGGCTGCTCTCCTCCCCTCTCTCTCTCTCTCTCTCTCTCTCTCTCTCTCTCTCTCTCTCTTACTTTGGTTCTCGCTGTTTCTCTTGCTGTACTTCAAGACTGCTCATATCTTGGCGTCACTTCACGCATCTGCAGATCAAATCACTGGATCAAACGCTCGAATGTACGGGCAGGTGCATGATTACAGAGAGCAGGAAACAGTAAAAGAAAATGGCCGCTCTGCAGTCCCGCTGGTTCGAATTTGAATGAGTCTGGTCTAGTTCTCCCCTGAAGTAACTGTGCTCACCGTCTGCGGCATGGCTATCCCTCTCTCCTCTAAAAATGGATGCTCTCGTGACCAACGGAAGTGACTGTATTCATCATCAACTGGATGGCTGCTATCATCACCCTCTGAAGTAGTTGCGGGCATCATCAACGGGTTACGAGATGGGGTTCGCCGCAGCTTGTTACGATGGCTATGAACCATGTTAGTTGCGCTCGTCATCCGCAGATTGCAAGCGAAAGTTACCTTTTCGCTGTTTGAAGGATGGCTTCTCTAAATCGCTTCTGCTTGCATGAGCCCTGCGTCCCTCAGGCCGCACTCCCCTTGCTTGCCCACGCTGGAAGGTGAATGGACCTTCAGCTAGAAAATGGGTTGATACATTCTCATAGTCTTCGTTTCCTCTCCTTTGTAAGAATGCCCCTGCGTCTTCAGCTATAACGGGAAATAACATTAAAAAAAAAAGTAGTTTCTGCTCATGATACTCTTGTAGTCCCGTATTATCCTTCACAACATAGCCAGCCAGTAGAAGAGGCTGTAAGGTGTATGTACCTACTAAACTGGCTCTTCCCGAGAGTTGGGGTCGCGTTTAGGAGGAGGGAGGCCAGAGAGGCCGAAACGGCGGATCTAGTCCTGCAATTTGAAGGCAGCAACTTTGGCCATTTTCCGTGCTCAAAAGAATCCACCGAATATTTTGAATTTTTGACCACTGGTAGACTAGGTCGCGATCTTTCCAGGAAAAATATCAAACAAAAATAATTAAATCATCTTGTCCGTGAAACAATCGCCGCGCCGATACCTTGTATATTCTATTTTACCACAGTGCAGTTTGTAGGCTGACGGGAAGAGTATTATAACTCCCGCGATTTTTCCCGCTCCAAAGAATGCGAATCAGAGTTTGAAACATTAAGTTCCCCTCGGTTTGCTTGTGATCTTTTCAGGAAAAATAATACAAAAATTTGGAAAAATCGTTTTGACGGTGAAACAATCGCCCTTGCATATTCTAGTTTTACCAGTGCCGTTTGTGGGCTGATGGGAAAAGTACTCTCAACTTCTGCGTTCCACGTCTCTCTCTCCCACTGCACACTCTCTTTCTGCACACTCTCTCTCTGCACACTCTCTGACTATGTGCACTCTCTCTCTCTCACTGCACACTCTCTCTCTGCACACTCTCTCTGACTCTGTGCACTCTCTCTCTCATATCAAAGTTACATGTACCTGTTTGCCTGCAAGTTCAATGATCTTACTTGGGAAGAGGGAATCTCGTCATTGCCCGATCAGAGAAACTGCCCACTCCCATTAGAAGCGGGAATACTTGAATAGTTGACCAGCGGAAAGCTCAACTGCCTAGTCAGTGACATTGGTCACTTCCGTCTGCAGCGGAGTTACTTAAATAGGTGACCAGCGGAAGGCTCGATTGCCTAATCAGTGACACTGGTCGCTTCCGCTTGCAGCGGAATTACTTAAATAGGTGACCAGCGGAAGGCTCGATTGCCTAATTAGTGACATTGGTCGTTCCCGCTAGTGGCCGAAATACTTGATTGGCTGGCCAGCAGAATACTTGAGTACCTGATCCGTAGAACTGCTCGTTCCCGCTAGCACCTGGAATACTCGAATACTTGCCAGTAGAATACTTGATTGCCTGATCAATGGACTTGTCATTCCCGCTAGCAACGGGAATACTTGAATGAATGGCCGACAGTATGCTTGAATGCCTGATTAGTGGAGCTGGCCCCTCCCGCTAGCAGCGAGAACACTTGATTAGCTGGCCAGCAGAAGATGCTGCTCCACTGAGCTAGCGCCAATGAGGGTTGTGTACACGTACGCGTGGCACGTACGCGTCAGAACTGATCGACGGGTCAAAAACCCTCATCCCTTTGTAACTGCTAGGTGGCAGTTCCTTTGGCGAACAACTCGTCTTGGCAACTCGACAACTCATCCTCTCTATCTGAGACGCGTGCATGTCGACAACTGGACTCAAAAGTCAAAAAACCCTGGTCCCTCTCGTAACGGCCAAGTGGCCGTTTCCCTGGGCCGACAGCTGGGTGCTGACACGTGGCACCTGAGCACACACATACGCGTCGCTCGACCCAAGGAAGGTACTACCTAAGTAGACCAGGTCCGGCGGTACTACCACTGGCGCTGATTCCAGATCCAGTAGTCCCGCTGGTGGAGCTGGTACCCAGACCCTGCTACAGAAATACGGCCTCGACATGCACCCTCTGGTCTGGATCCAGGCCTGGCCAACGTGAGTACTGCCACCACTTAGGCCTGCTCATTATTTTCCTGCATTATTATTTTATTTTACTTTATTTATTGTCGAGACTAATCGTGCCCTTCGCAAAAAAAAAAATTACAAAAATATAAATAAAATTCAGCGGTAGGGTGTCAGCAGAATTAGCCACCGAAAGGGCAAGGCTAATAAACTTGATAACCCATAGCGCAGCCTCTTGCCATTAAGCAGAGCGGGCTGGACCGTGGTTCACTCAGGTAGGGCTAGTGGGGTAAGTCTTATCCCCTAGGTTAAAACGTCAAACCGGTGTGGCAAATTGGACACACCAAGGAGGGCCAGGTGTTCCAATCCGTTGTCATAGCCGCTTGGAAAGTGGTCGGGGCATTCGTAAGACTTAATGGCATAACCAGCCATTAGAAATGCCCATGTCGCGTCTTAAACGCGGTCTTGTAGCGGTCCTCCTGCCGAATCTCGAGTTGGTGATATCCCGACTTGAGGTCAAAGTTGGAGAAGAACTTGGCGCCGCCCAGCCGTTCGAGGAGGTCGTCAATACGTGGAAGAGGGCCGGCGTTTTTGATCGTTTGCGTGTTGAGCTTGCGATAGTCGATGCACAACCGCAAATCCTTGTTCTTCTTCCGACCGAAGAGAACGGGAGCACCGTATGGCGATGAGCTAGGCCGAATCCAGCCTTTCTCCAGAAGGTCGTCGCGTTGTGCCCGTAGCACACTTTAACTCTTCCTCGCTCATTCGGTAGATGCAACCACGCGGAGGTACAACCCCGTCCTCGAGGATGATCTCGTGGCGGATGGGCCGATCCGGTACTACTCCGTGCGGGCCTTCGAACACGTCGCCGTAGGCGTCGAGAAGCTCGGTGATGCGTGGGTCTGAAGATGAGTCCGTCGATGAAGCGTCATGGGGCGGGAGGGCGTGGAGAAAACACCCCCCCATCTCCTCGATGTCGTCTCTGATGGTGGAAGCTCGCATGCTTGCGGCGGACACCACGTGGCAGCTGATCGAAGGGTGAGGAGGAGGCACCGTGCATGGGACTAGTACTCCGTTCCGATCACGAACGTGAACGGTGCGGCGGTAGAAGTTCACCGGGTGATCCTC